TTAACCTTTTCGCCGCCAACAACTTCTATAGAAGTTCAGGATTTTCGTGCCGTCCACGCCACTACTTCTATAGAAGTTCATTGTATCTACCTACTATAAAAAATACATTTACGATACATAAAACATTTGTTTCTTTGTAATTTTGTAATATGGACACGACGAACTATTTTTTCTCATGCAAAACAGACTATTTTCTGTTTTAAAAAGGTAAAACATAAAAGGTTTCAAATAATTTTATATCCCGCACGCCAACGACTTCATATCAAGTAGGCCAGTGATGTGACGCGTAAGGAGCATTCATTAGAATCTTTATTTACTATAATATTTGTTTTCTTTTCCATCCAATAGTTTTTTGAATTCTATGAATAAAAAGAAATTCCGGTCAGTAAATAACGTATTACAATGCGTTTCAAAATTAATGTACATCTACCTATCAAATCATTTCATTAAAATTAATTATTATGTACTGAGGGTTTTCGATATTGCTAGACCCATCTCTACGTAATGGCAAGATGTCGAGTGACACTAGCGCCGTCAACTTCAATAGAAGTAAACCTGTGACGTCGTAAGCGCTTAGGCGTCAAGGTCATTGTGTCATAGTTCCGGGCGACGCGTGCACGCACATTTTTCTTTCCCAGTGCAGTGCAAAATGACCGAATATGATTCGGATGAGTATATTCTATATTTGTTCGCCGACACAGCTAAAAGTTTGCGAAACCGAGAGCCGCAACGAATAGGTATTTTATGACTACCTAATATCCATCAAACGTGCCAGTTTTTCATTTGCATTAAATGAAAAATAAGCTATTAAAGTTTAGTACATCTGTATTAAAATAGTTACTTACCATCCATTTCCAAAACTACACATATGTTGCCACTTTTAATCACTACAAACAATGTTCCTGATCGTGACCTGACGTTAGATTTTAAATGTAAACTAAAACCAAAAGCAAACCAAACTCGATAGAAAGAAAGAAAAGCATAGACAACTATTCCTTACGAAATGTATCGTGCTTTGAACGCCAATGACTTGATATGAAGTAAACAGACTACGTTATGAAATGAATAGTGAAGTGGCTAATGTTACGAATTATTATTATTATCTCTAGCAACTCTATGCATGTATCTTCATCTCTGATAACGGATACCCATTTTTCTTAGTATAAATGTTCATAAAATAAAACAAATTACCATTATAACTTAACAGTTTGTATTTTTAATTGTAAATTTGAGTACCAATTTAAATTTACACATATTTTTTTTCATTATCGACATGATGTTACCGCCATCCCTACTTTCGTACTATACATTTATTATACATTTATACGTTGGCGTACGGCGACACATCGTGTTTAGTATAGCTGGGCGGCGAAAAGGTTAAAACAGTCAGTTCCAGGAGAATGGTGTGTGGTGTACGTAGAAATAAAACCGCATAATATTATTATTTAAAGTTAACACTTTACAGGCCCATCACGGTATAATACATACACTAATAGCACAGATAGTATAAAGAGGAAAGATTTGATTTTTTGTTTAATTTGAAACTACCTCACAGATTTAAAAAATATTTTACTGTTGGAATCCTACATTATAAATGATGAACGTAGGCTATATTTAAAAAGAGAGAAAAAAGGAAACCGTGTGAAAATTTCGATAATGTAACCCGATGTGTGAAAAACTACCAAAAATCTCCTTATATACATAGCTTAAGCTTTTGACTGCCAATAGAAAACTGTATGTTTTCAAGGACATGGTAGTAGTTAGCTGCATCAGAATCAGCGATTTTAAAGAAAATGTATGGTACGTTCCAAACATGAAAATGTATCTCTACATAGTGAATATTGCATACTTCATCATAGTGATGCACATTATTGTCAAATTACAACGAAGGCATCTTGGTAGAGTCCACTGTGTCCATTTACTTGCAACTATATTAGCAACTTTGTTCACTTCAGTATTCTGAAAATATTGTTTTATACTTTCTCAGCGTCGTTTTTGTCGTAGTTGGGTTTTAGTTTTTTTTATGGAACCTTTCAGCTATTTCCCGTCGAACAAAACAAGAATCAGAATCCCCTTAAAGCTCGTCGTAATCGATGTACGTACATACATAGAAACAAAGCAACAAAATAACATACCGGCCGCATTGAAAACTCCTCCTCCTTGGGAAGTCGGTCAAAGACAAGGATTACGTGGTTTCGCACTAGGGTTACGTGATGAGAAGAT